ATCATGGGGGAAGTCTGAAACACTAAATATTGTTTCCACCCAACTCCGCTAAGGATGCAACATACTGTAAGCAGCCAAAGGAAATTAAAAAAAAAAAATCACATCTGAAACTATGGTTTGTGTTTTTCTTTTTTCTTTGTACTCACCTATAGTTCTGCAAAGCTGTTTAAAATGCTTTAAGCCAGGAAGAAAAATAAAATAAAATAAAATAAAATAAAATAAAATAAAATAAAATAAAATAAAATAAAATAAAATAAAATAAAATAAAATAAAATAAAAATATTGTGAAAATTAACTTTCAAACCAAGGCTGTAAGGAGGGAGAATGATCAAATCCCATCTTGCTCTGGGGAGTGACAAGCCAAAGGATTTTCCCTCAGCCCTTTCTCTCCAAGTGCAGTTCTCCCTGCCTGCAGAGCTACGACAGGGTGACCAAGCTGAACCTGATACAGAGCGGGCTGGATTCCACCTTATCAAAGTAACCAAACGAGCCTGACCAGTGCTGTGCTCTGAAGAAACCACCAAATTCATGTCAGGGGAATTGGCTGTGCCTACATTAACAAGTACTGTGGCCCAGAAAGAGCAGATCTGGAGAGAGAAGCAGGTAATGCCAAGGACCCCATGCTCAGGTTACTCAGTGTGCCAGGTGGGGACAGTCAGGAGATTCATTCCCAAATTGTTATACTAGCTGCACATTAACATAAATGCTCCCGCTGTTATTGGAGGACGGCAGAAATCTGTGCATCAGACTGTAACTCTAAGAGCAACCCTGACTTTCTGGAAGCCCTCTGCAGATACTCTCACTAGACTACCTGAGGATCCAGAAGACCAAGTTTCACACCCTCAAGGACACCTGCAACTACTAGGTGACATATGGGATTTTTTTACTCTGAGAGAAACAAAGCCTGCTGACCTCAGACCCTTTACTTGGTTTTAGACAAGTACAGGAGGTCAAATTCACCTCTGCACTGATGCCAAGCCCAGTGCCGCAGCTTCCCCTGCCCAGGGAGTACCAGCACCATTTGCAGCTTGGCAAGCCCCAAGAGCTGTCTGTTCTCACCTGTAACAGCAGCCAAGGAGCAGCCAGGGCATTAAATACCATGCCAGGCCAGCCAACAAGCATAAATCCTAAGCATCAGGGGCTCCCCTGAAAGCACAGAGCCAGCTCTGTGCTCAGGTGCCTAGACCCCAGTGCTGGTGCCCAAGCTTCATCACTACTTTAAACTGTCACAGAATAGCTGCAGAGCACTGGTAAATCACTCCTGATGTGATTAATGCACGGGGAAGGTTACAGGAAACTTTATGCAGCACTCTAATGCTTATTTTTCCAGGTCTCGCTTAACACAAATGAGAAGGAAAGTGCTTAAAAGGGGGAAAATTGCAAGCGGCTGATTCCCATTGCACTCTTGTCCCCTGCCAAATGAAAAACTTGCTAGGACAGACTTTGTTTTCAAGGAACGAAGGGATATGGAAATATTTACACGCATAGTATCAAGACATCAGCCATGAGGTCAAAGACTCTGATGCCAAACTGAGGGAGAACATGTTGAAAAAGGCAATGCATGTTTCCAAGGCAGAGGAAAATGTGTATCGTTGCAATTGTTAATAATAACTGACCTGAACAAAAAGAAACACTTTGGAGACAGCCTTAATCCTTGGGAAGAGCTATGCCTCCACCTCAGGGCTGTCTCAGTAACATACAGCATCCCAGACCCTGCACAAGCAGAAGAGTGGCTTTGCTCTACACGGACAGAAAAGCCGTGCAGAACCACGAGCACTACGAACTGTGCTCTGCTGGGGACCCAAAGCAGGGTCAGCCACACAGTGCCTCCATTCTTTAACAGATTGCTGTGTCCTTCAGGCCGTTATAGTAAAAAGCTAATGATTTCCTTTACAAACTACAGTTTTTCAGAATCTGGGTACCGAAAAGCCAAAAAAATATCAAAATTAAAGCTGCTTTTGGCAACATAAGTAACATCTCTTTGTAAATATGTATTAATATGTTGATTTCATATTCCATTTTTCATTACTGTTTCTCAAATAACTGTGGGTTGCACAGCTTTCTTTTTTCCAGCTGAGGGCATGTCAGACAGGGAGGCAGTAAATCTGACAGTGCTGCCACAATTCAAAACAAAAACACTGAATTTTCAATTGCAGGGTGACTGGCATTAGGGAATTAGAATAAAGCCAAGTTCATACCAAACCTGACCAGTTGCTGCTGTCATCTTCAAGCAGCTTTTTTCAGGTAAAAATCAGACATTAACTCCACTTTTCTTTTCAGTGAACTTCTATCTTCAGTTATCTTGCCTCAATCTGTAAAAAATCGCTTTTTTTTTTTTTTTTCCCCCCATCAGCACTACATCTTCTAATGCTTATGTTAAAGACAGGTAAAGAAACCATCAGGCTCCCTGCTTAAGTCTTTCAAGTTCCTAGACAGCTAAATTTTTATTTGTCTTTTTTGACCCCAAAAAAACAAATTAGAAAATTTATGCAAATCAGATGAGGACTAATGAGTCTTCTGACAAGCTAAAACCAGGAAATGGGGAAGCAACACTGGAGTGAGAGCAAAACAGTAAGTTGAAAAACTGTTGCATTCAACAACCCTCCAATTTTGAGATCAGAATTTGTGTGTTGATGTTTGATAAAGAAAAAAAAAGTGCATATTTATCAACAACAACAATACCACCACAGTTCATGAGCATGCTTTGAACTATTCTTACTGAAGTAAGGGCATGAACACTTCTCTAATACTTCAGCTACTGCAGGGCGCAGATGCACGCCCTTCAGTCCCTCACAGAGTTAGCGTTTGATTCAAACTGTTGCCAAAACATGAATATGCAGGTCAGCTGCAGCGAAAGGATTAAAAGATAAGGTGCACAACTAGCAGCCAAAGCATCCCGTATTAGGTGTAAATGTATATTTTTCCCCTCGGGGGCAATGCAGCAGGCCCCATCAATGAAAACCCTCCAGTCAAAAACCCTCTGATATAAACACGAGAAGATTCTCATACACTGCTTTTTTGAGGGATGCTCCTTGAACACGACACATTTCCTTGAAAGTCAACAAACATGGTACTGTCAGAGGCAGGTCAGGGTCAGGCCTGCTAAATGACATGGTTTGTTGTGGGGCAGCTGAGGTATGGCACCTGGGCAGCTGCTTCCAAGGCAACTCAGGGCACCAAAGAAGCTGTACTGCAAAATGACCCTGTCAAGTGAAACTTTTTTCAGTCATGTGTTTTAACCCCTTGAACCTGACCATCCGACTTCTAGAGATGCCCAGAGCTGAAGAAGGCATGGTAAAAATGCCGTACAGATAAATGATGCCATTAAGCATACTTTTATATACCTCTAGATTGTGCACTTATTTCTTTGCCGTATTTATATACAAATGCATTTTGCTTACAGAAATTACACTATTAACAGTTTAATCCTAAAGTTACCACATCTCACTGATTTATGCTAGAGGAAGATGTCCTAAAAGTTAGTGATTTAGGGTGCATATGACCAAAAACAAAGAAGAAAAATTATATTTTGCCAAATGTTACTGTATAAACCTACTGGAGGGGATAGTGCTCCAGAATTAGTGATTTGTAGTATGAGTGACAAAAAAAAAAAAAAAAAAACAAACAAACAATCAAAACAACCCCCTCTTTTTCCAAATGCTGCTGGAGGTGTGTCATTGACCTAGCAAGATATTTTTAGAACACAAGTCAGCTAAACTTCAAAGTCTGCTTTCCTGGGATATGAGGATGAATTGAACACAACGAGTCTTTTCATCCTCTTTCAAGCTCATTAATCTTGTTACCGAATATAGCTCCTCCTTCAAAAAAAATGATATTTCAAGGTTAAATTCAAAGATAAATCATCCATTAAAGAGCCATGTAAATACAGTCTGAGACTTTGGGGCTATTTTAGCATCTAAAGCAGAAAACATTGCTATGTTCTCATGTGATACACTGTCTAGTAAATAAAACATGAACAGTCTGCCAGGTACATCGTGCAAGCTAGGAATTACACCCTCTGGCTTTTAAACCTATGTCACAGTTTGCAAAACGAAGAAAAAAAAAAACAACGTGAAAAGTGACATTCTTAGGTTCATCCCTGTTTCCTATGTTTAGTGACACACTGGCTGCTTACTAGATGACAAAACATTTTCCGCCTGCCACGGCTGTAGCTTTTCTGACCTCGGCAACGAAAGGCTAACAATCACTACTTTCATTTGCCCGACCTTCAGCTCAACACTTTCTGATTTTTCTCATAGGCTGGAACCTCTCTCAGATCACAGACCTCACAGAAAGAGGTCTGTGCAAAAGAAGTGACAAGCCCTCTGTGTTGAGGCGGCCACATCCAGCTTTCCTGCAGCTCTGTGCTCGCTTTCACCTGCACACCTGGCACTGTGCTCTCCTGTTTTTGGAGGAGCAGGGACAAGAAAACCCAGCATGCACGCACCCGCTGCCTGTCATCAGCAACTGGCTCAAACTGTCCTGGAGTCCTGGGACAGGCAGGGCACACAACCAGCTGCAGCGGCGCATCCTCTGGCCAGGAGAAGCATGGGGAGGATTTTCCCACTGCCAGCTTCATCTTCATACCAGGGTGCTGAAAGCTTCGAAGGAAAAGCTGCAGGCCACCCAGTGGCATGGCTCAGTGACCCAGCCAGCCCAATCTGTGTGTGCTCCACACTGCTGCAAACAAGCTGGAGGAGCAAACGCACACTGCTCTGGGCCCCTTCCCTCTTTCCCTACTCATCAGTCATGATGCACAGCACCTCGAACGGGAGGCAATCACCTTTCGTGTCCCTTCTCCTGAACTGTGGTATTAGCTGATTGATAATCATAAGCCTTTGTTGCTTCCAAGTTGTTGCATTGAGCAACAGATCTCTCTTTCACAGCAAAAAACTTTCTATTAAAAAAAAAAAAGAGGGTGGGGGGAAATTAGCGTGTTTGGGGCTTTAATCTATGAAGTGCTGTATTTCTTGCCCAACTTTAAAAGCAAACAGCAGCAAAAAGTGGCACGTAGCACCGGCCGCTCTGAACAGAAGAGAAAGCAAGTAACTGCCCATCTTCTGCTGACTTCTAGCAAGCCGTCCCAGGTGCCCGGCTTTCTCGGAGCACAGTTCAAGCTCCACAAACTTCCAGAGCGCACTTCCTCGTCGCTGGAAGAATGCAGGAAAAAGGCAGCAGGTGCACGCAGGCTTGAAACAACAAAAGGAGGTGTGTGTGTGTGTGCAGGGTGGGGAGAATCAGCATTTTCTGCTGGAGGTCAGCGTAACCGGGAGGCTGTAAGCAACCCGGCAACGCCGCTGGCCGGAGCGCATTACTCGGGGAAGGGCTTTGTGCAGCTCGCTCTGTGCGAGGCTGCTTTCCACGCTTCTCCGGACGGGCGCTTTGCATTTCGCTTGCAGGGTGCTGGAGGAGCCGTGCCCGTGCTCTCTCCCCCGTGCACAACCCGGCACGGCACGGCACGGCCCGGAGGCGTTACAAATCCCCCGCTGCTGCGACCTGCAGCATCCTCAGCACCAGGGGCTTCTGCCAGGGCGCTGCCGGAAAAAACAACAGCTTCCCACCCAGGCAGCCGGCAAACCCAGCCACCAGCGCCTCCAGCTCGCCCCTGTGCAGGGGGGGCTGCACAGCCCTGCATATAGCCCAGCCGAGCCCAGCTCGGCTCACCCCGGCTCCCCACCCGGTCCCCCCTGGGGGGGCTGCAGCTCACCTGGTCCAGCGGGATGCCCAGCAGCGCGCTCAGCGGGTGCAGCAGCGTGGAGCCGGTGGTGCGGTGCGGGGCTGCGGGCACCTCGGCCATGCTGCATCCCCGCCGGGGCACCTCCGCTCCGCACCCAGCACCCAGCACCCAGGACCCGGCACCCAGCACCCAACGCCCAGCGCCCGGCACCCAGCGCTGCCGCCGGGCCGCGGGGGGGCGCACGGCAGGGCGGGGACAGCGGGCTGGGGAGGGGCTCCCGGCCGTGCTCGTGCCCGTGTCCGTGCTCGTGCCCGTGCCCTGGGCTGAGATCCTCTGCATCCCGGCTCTGCCTGCCGAGCATCCCCAGCCGGGCGTCCCTTGCCCCGTGCCGGTGCCGCCGGAGGTTGTAAGGGAGGATTGCCGAGCGCCCAGCGCTTTTGGAAACCCAGATGCAGTGACTTTTTTTTTTTTTTTCCCGATAGGGGAAAAAATGAGGAAGGAGTGAGGGTTTTAACTGGTGCGATTAGCTTGCGAGTGAGATACGGTTATAAAGGTGCCCTTTTTTTCTGCCCGGCTCGCCTATCCGCAGGAGTGTTGGCGCACCTTCCCCGGACAATGCAGTATTGTGTTGCGGGGAGAAGTTGGGCAGCGCTGCAAAGCTTGCTGTTCAGCTGTACTGCTGACGTGTTTAGGGCCTGAAGTGTCCCAAGAGTCCTCTGCAGGCTCAGCACCAGGCTCTTTCAGAGGCCATCGTTTTCTCCAAGTTATTGTCCAAGCAAGCCCTACTGAAAGTGCCCTGCTTATACTGTGCAAGTGAGTGCTGGGCTGGAAAACCCAGGCAAAAACTATTCTGTAGGGAAGTTTTACAGCAGTGACATTCCCTATTGCTTAATACATACATACATACATACACACATGCCTGCACACATATGCTCCAAGCAGGACAAGAGAGCCATTTGGAAGGACTGGGTAGCCATGTGTAAGGCTGCCTAACATTTTCCAGTAGAAGTCCCTCTTTCCAGTGTAAAATTTCCCAGCCTGAAAATGTCTGGATGGAACTTTCCGTGGGCCATGTCTGCCACAAAGGGATTGCTTGTTGAACTTCGGCTAAAATCGTTAACCTGATTTTGGGAACAGAATACAAGTGATTTATTACACACACTACTCTGGGGCAATGACTTTAAGTTTAGGTATGGTAGTTGTCCTGGGAGCAAGGAAGTGCCTTTCTCTGGCCTTGTGAGACTACTCAGCAGTGACCAGCTGAGGGAGTCCTGGGGAAAAATACACACATCATGTATATGGATAACTGGGAGCTCAGTGTATAGCTTCTCTGAAGGCCATAAGCATTCTTCATCAGTTCCTCTGTGTGAGCAGGCTCCCTGTCTGCCTGCCCCTGAAGGAGCAGAGCAGGACACTACAGGGCTCCAAGTGCAGGAACTGAGGAGTGTGTGCCTGCCTCTCATGGGCAGTACTCAGCCACCTCATGAGGTGTGGAGCAGAGACAGAAGCAGCTGGAAGGGGAAACGGGTAGGTAGAGAAAGCCAGAAGTGAAAGCACCGGAATTAGAGAGGTGGCAGTTCTGGCTAAGGCCAAGAGAGAGCACGCTCCTGTCTCAGCAAAGACAGGTTTATGATACACTGTACTTAGACTAGAAAGCTCTCCTACACCCAAAGAATCTTGAATGGATCCAGCTGAAGTATCTTTGCACCACTGCCATATATTTGTTATAAACCTATTTGCACGTGGGAATTCAGTGTCACTGTCTGTCACCCCCTCTCTGCTGGCAGGACCACCAGATGTGGAATAGCTGTGACCGGTCAGCCCAGAAGGTTGGTTAGGTCTCTTGTCGCTGACAGGAACAACTGTGGGTGCTTGGACAAGGCATCCAAGAAACATGCCAAACACAGAGCAATCCTCTCACATTGTACTCTCCCAGCTCCTAGCCATCAGATGCCTGAGATGGAAATTTCATCCGGTATATGACGTTTAATAGCTGCTGGTGGACCTATGGTATATGCCTCAGTGTCTTCTGAATTCAGTCATATTTGTGGCCTCCACAGTATCCTGTGAGTTCTGCTATTTAATTTGTGCTGTATGAAAAAGTACTTCCTTGTGTTTGTTTTAAAGCAGCTGCCTTGTAATTTCATTGGGTGCTGTCTTGTCCTTGTGCTGTGAGAAGTGAATAATCACTGTTTAATCACCTCCCCTGTGCTATTCATATCTTTATGTATCCTCAGTTGTCTATTTAATCTCTCATTATATGGACCTTACCGATCTCTTTGTTTTTCCTTTCCAAGCTTTTCTGCATCTATTTTTGAAATGAAGAGACTATAGATGTACGTAGTAGCAATATTTTGTTCTATATTCCTTCAAGAATTCCCAACATCATCCCCAATGACTCCAAAGTCTGTTTTCTCAAAGGTAGTTTAAAAACCAACATGCATATGTATAATCGAGTTGTTTTTTTCCTGTTTAGATTTATCAATATTAAATTTTAACATTCCTTAAATTGCCCTGCAACACAATATTGTAAAATCTGTTACAACTCTATAATCAAGCTTTGATTATCCTGAATTATTTCATATCCTTTCTAAGTCTGTCATCTCATCTCCTTTTCCAAAACCTTTTTAATGTGTTCAACAGGATAGATCCCTTTGTATTAATTCCCAACTCGACATTTAATTTCTCACCCTTTGTTTATTACCTTTCAAGCAGCTGGAAATCCATGAAGGGATAGTTCCTACTATTCTCAAATTATTTAATTGTTGTGGGTGAAAAACCTTACCCCAAAGCTCTGGAAATAGAAATATACTTTCCTGACAGGATCACCCTTAGACACATATTCTTCAGAGAATACTAACAGGTTTATGAAGTGTAACTTCTTTACAGTGGCTGTATTTCCCCCATTACATCATATTTACCTGGGTGCCTACTCATTTTGTCTTTTGTTCTACAGTTTGCACGGAGAAGTGAGGAGTGCCGCTCTGTAATTCTCTGACCCTGCCTGACTGATACGGTGAATTTGACCTTTCAGTGGAAGATTTTCTTTTATGCCTCAACAGGAAAAGACAGTTCACTGGAGAATGTAGAGAAGTTGTAAGGACAGCCATTTAACAGAGAAGGCAGGATGAAGGCTGCCAGCATAGCAGGCAAGCACAGAGTAGTGGCACTGTGGGATACCTAGAACGACCTCATCAATAGAAATGTTAGTCCGCCACTAAAAATCCCTTCTATCTTCTCACAGCTGTTTTAAACTTTAGCCTTGCAAACAGTAAGTTGGGAGAATATGGACAAATGTGGAAGTGTGTGGTGATGGGGAGAAACCAAGGGTTTTATTCCACGGTTAAGGAAATTGTAATTTGAAAGTACCCATAAGGTATCTTCTGGAAGTGAAACTCATCCAGAAATTACTCCTGTGATCCTTTTGCATCAGTACAAAAGGAAATTGTTTTGTTTTCAAATCCTGATTCCTTTTGACAAGTCAGAATCTCCGGCATAGGGGCCATGGATGAACCACAGTTCTGGATGATAAGTGATGCTGCATGAAACAAAGCTGAGCACCTGAGAGAGGAAGGGATTGTTTGTTTTTCTTGGTAACATCAATACATGCATGTGGCCATGAACTCATAGCACTGATGGCTTTCAGCATTACCAAAAGAGAATGTTATCTGTGCATTTATCCTCCTTCAGAGATGGTAGAATGATTATTTTTATTATTTTCAGATAATGGTGAATTGGAATCAGGATCTACTGATACAAAATTAAAGAAAACAATGAACAGAGGTTTACACTTACTTAATAATTTGTGACTGTCTCTACCAACATGAGGCTCTCTGTGTCTACACTTGAGATAATTTTGCAGGCTCATTTCTTTTCCTGCTGCTGAAAGGGATCCCTTGACCTTTAATACAGCCAGTGGTCACAAGGCAAGCAGACATAAATCTAGAAGGATTCTTTTTTTCAGTTTACTAGTTACTTGAAAAGGAGGTGGTTTGTATTTGTTTATATCACATTTTTTTGTGAACTCTACTACAGTTTATTCAGGAGCAATTTGAGATGTAACAGAGTCTATTTGTAATACAGCTTGAAACTAAAAACCTGGAAGGACATTTTGTGATTTGCAGAATAAGAAGCTGAAAAAGTTAAGTAAGAATTACTTATGACTAATATGAAAAAGGCAAGAGTTCATGGAAATACTTCAGGTTCCAGGCAATAACTATTGGAAAAATGCTGATTTCTGTTCAAATACATTTAGGGAAATCAAGAGAATAATTTTATAAAGAAAACAGATGATGTCTAGAGCTACTGAAATAATGTTTTCTTTAAAAAAAATATTTTTTCTCCTAAAAATCATATGGTAGTATTCTTAAGAAAGTACTTCCATACACTCACACAAAGGCAAATCTTAGTGTATGAAAGTTTTTGATATTAGCAATCCTTCACAATTCCAATTGTAAATTTATAAGCAACCACCAGCACATCCAGCAGAACTCTTCTTACCCATATCAAATTAAAACAGAACACAAAGTTAATTTAATATAGCCTGACTTTTCAGCTTTTTTGCCTTGTACTTTCACAGATAACATTGTTTTTCTCTAGTAATCATCTCAGTCTTCACAGCAGAAGTAACAGAGTTTGTTCTCTTCTACCATCTAGAGGGGAAACTGTACAACAAGTAGAAAAATTATTTTAGCTTTGCCAAAAAGTTAGAGAGAGAAATAGTTCCAATTCCTTATACTATTTTTACTTTAGGAAAAAAAAAAAAAAAAGAGAGAGAGAGAGAGAGAATTGCTGATAGTGTTCCCATAAGAGTTAGTTAGGCAATTTACAGTGTCAATCAATATCTGTTTGTTTTTGTTTTTAATATTGTTTTACATGGGTCTTTTCTGCACCAGAACTAATAAGTGGGGAAAAAAAAAAAAAAAAAAAAAAAAAGATGTTGAAACCAATCAGGACTTCAGGACTCACTGCTAGCAGAAAGTTATTATGGTGTTTTTAAATCTGTAGGCATTACTCTATAATTTCATTTAAAGAGAACTTAAACTTCTATAAGCAATCAAGCCCTTTCACTTATAGTTACAAGTCTTATGGAAAAGATTAAATAACATTGAAGAAAACATTTAGTACTGGTGTGTGGATTTAGAGAGCCAAAATCTACAACATTTTTTATGCCGAGTAATGCTATCAAATAACACTGTTAGCTAAAATGACTGCTCCACAACATGTATTGCCTGAATTAGAGAGCTAGCAACACCAGTGTTAACTGAAGCCTTTGTTCTACAGTACACAGTTAAAGAGCTGTAATTGTTTGTATTGCTGTTCTAGTTGTGGACAGTCATGACCTTTTCAAATAATGTGCAAAGGGGGAAAATAAAAAAATATAAGTATGATTTGAAGCTGATGAGTGTTATTTAAGTTGAGCAATATATTAATTATGGAACTACAAGAATTTCTGGATTGTAAAGATTTTCTAGTCTGATAGAAATTGCCTTTTTCTGTTGTAAATTGGTTCCTCATTATTCTATTTGAGTGAATACCTGTAGCGGTCTAAATGAACATGCGCTCAAACAAAACCTTATACATGCTCTCATTATCCCACTTTGATTACTGAAACATATTTTTTTCTGCAGCTTTGGTAAATTTACCTTTGTCTGATCAGAATGCTCCCACAACAAGTATTTCCTGCACTCACCACTTTGAACTTCGTTCCCATTTTTGTGTATTTTCTTTTGCTCTGTCTTGTTTCATTCTTTTTCTAGGTTCTGCATTGTCTGTACATCTATCCTAAGATAAGCATTGGCTCTTATATTAGATTTTCAAACAAGCACTCCTGGGGTTTCTTCTGAACTTGCCCTTTTATAATGAGGAGTTGACCCTAATAAGCATTCAAGATTAATATACTATCTTCTTTTTAATTAGTTCTTAAAACTTATTTTTTCTTATTGTTTCAAGGGGGGGAAATAAGCTTTTCTACTGGAAGCTTGTCAACAGAGTTGTTACGCTGGGATCACAGCATTTTCACTGATTAGTGCTGTCTTATTGTTTCCTTGGCCTCTTATGCCAGCTGGTCTGTATCCAGCTTTGAATCCTGCCTCCTACTTAGATCATTAGCCCTTTCAGACAAGGATGCCTGCATTATTCTTTGCTTGTGTAACATCCAGCAAAACGGGGTCTTCCTCCATGAATCAAGGCGGTAGGCCCAATGATAATAACTATAATAAATGTTTGACTGCTGTGAGTATTATTATGACTGTAATGTTTATATGCATGGGGGAAAGGAATGAATTCAATGCCCAGAAAGGTCCACCAGAAAGAACACGACCCAATTAACAGAGAGACCTTTAAGTGTATTTTCATCATTGGCAAAGGCAGGACCCCTGCTGGCTGATCTGTAAAACATTGATGATGTTTGTTTTAACAGGAGCCACTTAACCGACCCTCCTGCGTGGATCAATTCGCGTCGCTGCCTCAAGCCAGTATCATCAAAGAAACGTTGTGAATACTACAAGAAAGAAAAACTGAGACCTTCGACTTCAAAGTCTACTGTCAATCACATGCATCAGCATGCATCTGATAGACTTACCGTGGATGTTGGCACACCTTTTGGCTGTCCCCTAAACATGAGGTCACTTCTGTAGGAAAAAGGATCTCTGGTTCAGGAAAACAATCTAGATGAAGCTGAGCAGCCTTCTTAAGCAGCTGCTTAGGGAGAATACCATGCCTATAGTAATAAGTGGTTGTATCTAAGCAAATTCCAGGTTTATTAACAATGCAGAAGGGAAAAAAATAAAAGTCTGACCTACTATAAATGTGAACATCCATATATTTAGTTTTATCAGTAGTCCAACTAAACCAATCTCATAGTATACAGCATGTATTTCCTTCCCATAAGGCTAAGTCAGGGGTGGATGCCTACAAAACCAGGCTTCCTAGTGCAATCAGGACAATGTGACAGAAGAGTACACAAAGATTGTTTGCACTGAGTGCCTTGATGCTGTATAGATAAGCCACATATTGAAAAGATGTTTGAATATTACTCTGTCTGCCTCAATCCTACCACTTAGCTGCTCTTTTGAAAGTCAGCTCCCTCACCTCTGGTAACAAAGGACCTTTCCCTTTGCCCAAGCTGGCAGAAATGTGATGAGCTTGTCTTTGCTGAATGTTGTTCACTGCATATTTCATAGACATATCTGAGAAATGGATGATCAGCAGTGATGCAGTCTTCTAGACTAAGTCAAACGTATAGCGAGTTTTGGCAACTGTTGTCTTGTTCAAGCGATGACTGTTAAATACCCTAGGGAATGTGAAAGTCTGGTGTGAAGGAGGAAGTGATGGAAATGGCTGCTGTATCTGAAAATTCTGCTCACACTTTGCTGGCACTGGAGATTCACTGGCTGCGAGGCCAGAAACAGCCATGGTGGTCACTAAGTCTGAACTAGTGGGATAGTGCACTGTATGAAGTATTATTTTAGAAGTATTCAACTTTATTTTTGTCTCCGTGCTTTAACTTTCTACTATATCTGTTTTGGACTTCATTCAGAGAATATGCATGCATTTTTAGTGCTCAATCTCCAACTAAGCTATAAGGTGGTTCTCTTACATTTGAGGGGAAGCATTGTTTAGTTTCTTAGCATGTTTTACATATTAACCATTTCTCTATGTCAATGAGAAGCTGTTGAGTTTCACCACAAAATCCACCTGATTTTGTACTGCAGAGATGGCCAAGACATCATCGACATCTCAGAAACGTATTCTGTACACACAGTAACGTCTCAGAAGAGAAAAAAGGTTCAGGGGTAAAAGAGTTAAAAAATAATGTTCACTCTGATGAGGTAACATCAGGTTTTTGTAATACTTATTTGTTGTTCAGACTAGAGCCTAACTTTAAGAAAGTTTCCAGTGGGAACAGGTTGCCCAGAGCAGGTGTGGATGCCCCATCCCTGGAGGTGTTCAAGGCCAGGCTGGATGAGGCTTTGGGCAACCTGGTGCAGTGGGAGGTGTCCCTGCCCATGGCAGGGGGGCTGGAGGGAGGGGGAGGAGCAGTTGGAGATAGATGATCTTTCAGGTCCCTTCCAACCCAAACCATTCTAGTGATTCTATGACTCTATGAAGTTCTACTCCTAGAAAAGTTATCCTAATGGATAATTGCCCTGAGAGACATAGAACAGAACATGAATACTTAGTTTACAAGAAAGCCTGAATCTTGTGTCATAAACAGGAAAAACAGGAGTGACAACTTTGTAATTTTGTAATGAAAAACCTGATTATCTTGAAGTCAGAATTCAACTCTATTGTTAATTCTTCTTAGAAAGGAAGCTCCAGGTTAAAGCTGCCACCCTAAGAAATTAAAATGCATTACCTTACCATTACCATTTTTCACGTGAACAGTAACTGGTTTTAACAGAAGGATGCTAAAGCTGGTGTTCTTCTGAGCTATACAGGAAGACAGCTAGTCCTGGCAATCATCTCTTTAGACAGACTGCAGTCCTTATTGTAATGACAACTTTCAGAACATCTCTCCTTGTTCTCCTTCACCATCATTTCTGAGGTACAATTAGACCTGCTCCAAAGTCTGAGTTGAACACACGGGTAACAGGAGTCTGTCAGTTCCAGTTGGTTCCATAGAAAAGTTTCCTTTCCTCTATAGCACTGTTAAAATCCCTGGCCAGATATAGGGTTTCTTCATATAAGGTCACTGCAGGGGCAAACCAGCTTCTCCTGTGGATGACCCAATTACTGCGGTGGCAGATGGGCGAGTGTGCAATGCACTTGCCAGCTGACTGCTTGCAAATATGGTTTTAAACAGATATCATAATTTGCTACACAGGAACTGACAAATTGCATTCTACCTGACAGAATATGATACAGATCTGTCATAGTGACAGCATTCTGTACACTTAATGAAAAAATCTCCTTTTTCAAACCATGCATAGCCAAGTTTGGCAATGCTGGTGATCACCATTACATAGTTATTGAACTCCTGGACTTCCCTTTGCAGTCTGCAGCTTGCCTGAGTTCTCCCTGTAAGAAAGACTTAAAGGCTCCTGATTTAATCTAAGTTTATCTTATCTAGTTACATTGCAGATACATCTCATGCATTGCTGCTCTAGCTCCTTGCTGACAGCCACTATGGGTGGCATATATGGGACCAGAAAAATGAAAAGGCAGTGGGATAGTTTCTGAAAAAGAGCAATACTCTGTAATCCAGTCCCAAATCCCCATGTTTGCAGGCAAAGCCCTTCCCTCAGCCACCGCAGAGGAGCTTATTCAGTGGCTGTGCTGTCATTGCCTGGCTGTCCCCACAAAGCACTCTGACTCCTGTGATGTGCAGAGAACACAATAGTGTGCCATGCAGAATTAATATTGCTGAAACTTTGTTACTCTGGGTATCCCTGCTCAATAGTCCCTATTTCCCCTTTCTATTGGATTTGCCAATAGTTTCCACATGCCCCTACACTGTAGATTTAACAGTGAGAGAGGTAAAGAAGAGCAAGGCTTTTTGTCCTTTCCACATTGGCAAGCCATGGCTCTGCACAGTGATTTTTCCTACTGCAAGGTATTTCTGGGCATGGGAGTGGAAGGGTGGGTTGGTAACAGCATCCCAGGGTTTTACATCAGGCTTTTGGAACACTAAAACTATCCTGTGCTCTACGGGATGGTAAAGCACAACCTAATGCCACAATGCCTATTCTAGTTTGCTCAATTCAGCTCATGTTGGGTGTGCAGATAGATTATGAGCTGACTCCTTGCTCAAACTGTTGCTTTGGTTCCTCACATGTGCTGGAATCTTGAAATTAAAAATTCTTTTCCAAAGTCCACATTAGTTGTATTAAGATCCCTGCAGATATAACATCCATTTTCGTGTACAGTGAAGAGCACAAAATGCAGAGATAACTTTTATATTTCCAAAGGACACAATGGAAAGAAAACAAGAAGTGAAAATCCATAAATGATGGTGTGTGACTATAGTTAAAGATTGTGTTTGACTTATTTTTTTACACAGTGTGAAATTATGTAACAAAGGAGACAGATCGTCTAAAACAATGAGAATTGTTAACTGACAGTCTCTTCTTGGAAACAGTGCAACATGTGCCCATGCTACTTTCATTTCAAAACTGCTTCACCTACCTTGAGTACACTGTTTCTTTTCAGAGCCCACTCCATACAACACTGCAGCAAAAAAATGCTTTCCAGAAACATGGAGACATACAGGAAAGAATGAGTCAAAATAGGGAATCCCAATTTTAACTTTCTCTATTTGGTTAGATCTAAAAAAGATGGTTATTCTCCCCACACTGCTTCATCTCAAAATATCAAGAACTCAGTTGACTGCTTTTGTCCTCTGTTTCTTCTAATGTGATAAAGGGGGGATAATTGAAATATTTCTGCTGAAAAATAAAGCTGGAGACTTTCTAGTGCTTGAAATTCATGTCTGAATTCAAGACTGCAAATGGGAAAAGCAGGACACTACATACTTGGAAATACTTGCTGCTCCAAGCAAGTATTTCAAGAGCCATTTAACAGATAGAGTGTAAAGAGGAAAGTAAATTTTAAGTTGTTGTAAGTGAATGTTGTATGTTATACATGGCCACAAGTAGAAGAGTAGAAACTTCCAGATGGTTAGCAGACTTCCTGAGAAGCAAATGATTGACCAGATGGGCTACTAACAAATAGAAATGGATTAGCTGTTTTTTTAAAAGCTGCACTGATTGTTTATGTTGACTGTTTAAACTATGTACATGCCTTTGGCCTATGGAAACATGAGATCCTTGAGCTTCAGGAAGGGCTCTGATGTGTGTTTAATAGAACAGATGAGGACAAAAGTGTTAATTCTGCTTTACTCCAAACTAGTCATCATATTCTGCTACTCATATATATATACAGTATGTATTTTTATATATATACTGCTACTTAGGTTAAACTGTTCTATTTCTCTCTCATAAATTGTTTTTAGAATTAGATGGATATTTCATGGAAGACTTTGCTGAGAATACAGAATTGACTAGGCAAAGCTTCTGCATAGTACTATCTGCATTTTAAACTGCTGTTTTCACTGCCAGATAGCTCCATCTTAACATTGCCCCTTTGTAGTTTACAGTGAACTGGCTCAGGATATTCCCTTATTAAGGCTTTTTTGATCTTGAGAAACCCTCCAAACTCAAAGAAACCTGCCCTAAAGAATAAGATCCTGAAGCCTGAATATCACCATTAAGTGTCTGATCCATAGCAGCTCTGTAATTATATGCTGGAGAATACATGTATATATTTAAGAAAAAAAATGCTATATTAACTACAAAATGGAAAGTACTTGGAGAGAAAAAAAAAAAAGTTAAAAAAATGGAAAAATAATAAAGGGATAGCAATACAATATAGAATTAAAAAAAAAAATACAAAAATATTAGGAAATTAAGGTCATTGTTTTGCTATTTACAAAAATAAAGATATTTATGCAGACCTTTGTTAGTATGACATTCTGAAATTATTATATTTTGGGTTATTATTAAATGAAGATAGTAGAATTATTACAAGTTTGTAAATAAGAAGTCACTTCTTGTAATGTGTGTGGACAGCACAGATTTGCCTGACTAGAATTACTTGCAAGGACAGGGCACTTGTACAGAGTGATCTTAGTCATTCTGGGGTGACCTGGACCTTTTCAAACAAACAATAGCAAAACATAGTACTGAAACAAGAAACACAGGCTCTGCCTACAACATGAGAGACTGTAGGCTGCACAAAGGTGAACAAAGTTTTCAAGTGTGATGCTGAGACTTGGTATGAGCTGGAAATTAGTGCAGAGAAAAAAGGT